TCTTCTTAACGCGATACTCAGACCAAGGGCACATGAGATGATGAGATAGATGTAGTGCCCCACGACACCCGTGTCTGACATGCGCTGCACCGGGCCGCCAGAATATTCGAACGAATTGGCTGCGAGGAACGGCCACCTCTGAAGCGCTCCAGCTGGTACAGAGGTTCCTGGCCGAAGGGTCCTCACGATGTCGGCCATTCTATGGCCTGATCCTAGCTTCGTGAGCTTTGTCGTCTCTCCGATCCTACTGGACGCCAACGTATTCTCGGGTAGGTCCAGAACACAGCCCAAAAAATCTAGAAGATTGACGCTGATGATGTGGGGGACGTCATCGGCTAGCACCGCTGTCTCGATTATTCCGAGAACTCCGAAAAGACAAAGTGGAAAGAGGATGCTGGCTACTACCTTGGCCGGCCCACCAACGCCGTGGGCGGCGACATGTCGTCTATGCTCGGCTGGAACTTCAACATATCTGAGACCGTGCTCTGCTAGTGCTTGTGACTCTCGATTCAGAGCCTGGACGCCGACGAGATCACTCCCTGCCCCAGGGTCTACCAGCCCTTGGCACGGAAGCGATACCAGGAAGGTGTCATCCTCCTTGATCTCCCGATGAACGGTCCTCCAGATCTCCATCGCCTCCGGACTGAGCACCTTGTCGGTCGATGCCATGCCGTTGAATGCATATGCCGCCATGCGTCGGTCTGCTCCGGCGTTCTTCGGGCACTCCCGACTCCAGTGGCCCTTTTGGTTGCACGTCCTACAGCGGGTCACCTTCATCTTCTGCTCCAGGGTGAGCGTGGGTCTGCGCCTGAACCGATCTCCTCGACGGCCGTCGCCTCGACCTGCACCCTTGGACGGTGGAGACGGGCGCTCCACCTTGGGTTTGTCGGTAGCTCCTCGTGGTCCGGCTGCTGGGCGTCGTCCTCCGTAGTATTCTCGGTCGCGCTTGGCAGCGCGCTTGAGATCCTTGTTCTCCTTCCAGGAGCGTCCCATCGGGCGGGCCGCGAAAGCCTCGAGGGCGGCGTCCAGCTGATCCTCGTAGAGGTCGAGATCCTCGAGCTCCTCGAGAAGGACAGCTTCGTCCTCGAAGTCGTCGTCAACTTCCTCCTGGTCCGTGGAGCCGTCGCCTGTCTCCTCACCACCTTCGAACCTACCAGCGGGGAACGAGGGAGTGGAGGAGGGAGGCTGAGATGCTGCTCTGGCACGCTCGTCGTCACCGGGCTCTTCGGCCGCGGGACCTGCTAACAGTGTGCCTGCAGAACGGCCTGGAAGAAGCCTCTCAGAACTGGTTGCGTCCATCTGCCTGAGGGCCCAGGACACGCTATCGTAGTCCAGGCGTCCGTGAGTCAGGGTTCTGAGATTTTGCTGACCCTGAGCAGACAATCCGGCGCCTTCCTCTAGAAGCAATCCCTTCAACTTTGGGCTAAACCACATCTCGTGCCCCTCTGCCTCGGTCAGCTGCGCCTCACGGCGGATCACATACTGAACCAGCGTCTCTCGAGGCTCGCGTGCTGCTTCATATAGAGCTCGGCGCCCAGCACGTCGTAGGTCGTCGCCCTCACGCTCTCCAGCCATGGTGTCCATGCGGCGCAGGATGACCTCCAGCCACGAGGCGCTGTTGAGCGTACTCTCGGGTATATCCTCGAACTTGGCCTGGAGGTTCCAGTCGAAGAACTTGAACAATTTTTCAGCCCGGCGCCATGTCGCTACGTCGGTATTCTGATTCCATCTGCGGATAGCACGGCTCCACTGTCGATAGTGTCCGAAACCAGGCCAAGGCGGCGGATCAGAGTAGTCGCCTTTGCCGCCACCGGCGGCCCATCCCCACCAGTCGCCGGCACTGGTGCCAAAATGGCCCCTGCTGCTGCCGGTCCAGTGCTCCCAGGCCTGGTTCGTGCTGTCGCCTTGATCGCCCCCCTGCTGCCGTTCAGCGCCTCCCCAGCGCCAGCCGGCAGCGTCGGACCAGTTCCACGGGTCCTCCTGGCGATCTCCCTTGGCACTGCTGTCGGCCCAGCCGTGCAACCAGGGATCTTCTGCTGCTGTCGTGGCCGCGGCCACCGGCGTCTGAGACGATGATGCTGCTCCCATAGTCTCGCGGACTACTCCCACGATCATCTCTTTCAGCTGCGCCGGTGTGACCGCTGCCAGCGTGTCCCCTGCGGCTGGGCTCGCTGGAGCCTCGGCTGGGGACTCTTTCTCCTTGCCGTCTCGCGTCGTCATCCGTGGATCTCCACGCCAGTCGGACCTGGAAGCGAGGTCCTCGCTCCGGGCGCTCGAGAGCTTCCTGGACAGCGCCTCCTCAGCGCCGCGCCGCGCCTGAAGCGGGGTCACCCCGCTCCGCTACCAACTGTGGCAGCAGATCGCCCCTGGGATGTTTTTCCCTTGAGCCAGAACGCGAAACGGTCGGACTCTCCAAACACTGAACCTAGGGATTAAAATCTGGATGGCATTCACATCTTGGGGCCTCTCGGGCTCGGGGGCCATTTGGGGGCTTTTGAGGGGCCTCTTGGAGCCTCCGGGGGACCTCTCTGCGCCTAGAGCTCGAAATGTCCGTTCGGGTCCCTCGTCTAGGCCAGCTCTTGGAGCCGTCGTGGGAGCCTCTTCGGCCATCTTGGAGCCCTCTGGGGCTGCCTTGGGGCCATCTGGGGCTGTCTGGAGCGCTCTTGGAGGCCTCTTGAGCCGTGTTGGGGCGATCCTGGAAGCTTCTCGGGCCGTCTTGGAGCGCAGGTAAGCCGAACAGGACAGGCGAGAACGCCAAAACCTTCAAAACTGAAGGAAAAACAATAGGTTCTGCCTCTATAGGCCGGCCTTTTTGGGAGGTCTCTTGGAGGCCTCTTTGGGCGTCTTGAAGGCGCTTCGGGCCTTCTGGAGGCCATCTTTGGCGTCTTGGATCGCGCTTGGACCGTCTCGGACCAGGTTGAGCTCTCTTGGAGGCCACTTGAAGCGCTGCTGGAGCGCTCTTGGGAGCCTGCTGTGACCTGGCCGGGACCTCGCCGGGACCTGCCCGGGACCTTGCCGGGACCTGCCCAGGACCTGCCCTTGCCGGGACTTGCCCGGGACCTTCCCGGGCTACTCTTCGCCTGGGGACCCCCAAGGCGGCCCCCCGCACGCGCGAACTAGAAGTACTGTTCACCAGTTGCGGAAGGTCTTAGCATGCCCTTGGCCCGTTGGGCCGGCGAATTGTGGAGAAGGGTGGGGGGGGCGGGGGAGGCTCCGGGGGGGGGGGGGGGGGAATGGAGGGCCCCGCCCTGTTTCGAACCATGGGGGCGAAATCGCCCCGAGAAAGTCCCAAGACCCCCCCCCCCCAGAGGGCCCCACGTTGGCCCCAAGGTCCCCACAAGCAAACCAAAGAGGGTTCAGGGAGGCACCAAAAAAAACCCAAAAAGACGACCCCAAGGCCAAGATGACCCCAAAAAGATGCCAAGATGGCCCCAAAAAAAACCGCATGGTGCAGTCCCAAGATGACCCCCAAAAAAGGCCTAGATAGCCCCAAGGCTCCTGCAAGATGCCATCGCAACACAAGATCCGCGAAGGCCTCCTTCTCGTCCTCTTTCTCCTGCTCCCCACTTCGTCCTCCTCATCCTAATCATCTTCCTCATCATCCTCCCTCCTCCTCAGGTCCTCCCATCCTTCACCATCCTCACCCAAGAAACTCTCACGGGCAGCGCTTCTGAATGGACTGATAGTGATTTTTTTGTCGCGACCGAGGGCGAGAGCGCCGACGGCGAGTAGGGTCCGAGCGGGCCGCGCACGAGCCTCATTGCCTAACGCCGACGAGCCGGCGACCTAAGCAGCACCTAAGCGGGCGGTCAGCGTGAGAGGGGGGGCTGCAGCTGCCAGGAACCCGGCCCAGGAGCGCACGCATGCACGATTAACCAACCAGGGTTGGAGCGCAGCCAAAATGGCGCGGGGGGGTACCAGGATGTGGCCAGCAAGACCACCACTGGAAGGCTGCACCAGCTGAACCAGGAAGAACTCACTGGCCACGGGACTGATGCATGGGGTGGCGCCACCAAGGTCGCACACCGAGACTGAATGGACTGATAGTGATACGTGAAACGTCAAGAATTGGGCTTGCGTACCGAGGTCCATCCAGAGCTGTCGGATATGAAAATCATGTCCCTGGAGCTTCGCGCACCAGCTCTGGAGTTCTGGCTTCACACCATCTCGAACTTGTGATGACGTTTCGCCACCCACTCGGAGCCATGGCAGACGAGGGCCTGATAGGGAGAGAAGGAGGGGGGGAAGGGGAAGAGGAGGAGGGGGGGGGAAAGGGGAAAGACGCGGAGCAGGGGAGGAGGGGGGGGAGAAGGGAAAGGGAGGGGAGCGGCCTCGAGGGCAGGATGACGTAAAGGGGTACGACGCAATTGGACGGGGGCTGACAAGGCGGGAGGGGAAGCGGGAACCAGTCAGGGAGGGGGAGGGGGAGGAAGGGAGAGAACGCATGACTTAAAAAGGGAGGAAGGAGCGAGGAGGCGAAACAGGAGCAGAACACAGGGAAGGGAGGAAGGGGAGGATGATTACACCAGCGAGGACGACTACGACGAAGACAAGGACGAGGGCAAGATGGAGGAGAAGGAAGAGGACGAGGAAGCAAACGGATGAGGATGAGGAAAAGGACGAGAAAGAGAAGGTGGGCGAGTGCGACGGGGAGGGCGAAGGACGAAGAATACGACGACGACGACGACGACGAGAACGACAGTGAGGGTGCCGACGGGGACGAGGAGGAGCACGAGAATGGGGTAGAGGGCGAGAGGGGATGAAGAAGAACGGAGGACGAGCACGAGGACGCCGAGGAACTCGAGAACGCCGATGAGGATGAAGACGGGGAAGAGGCAGCCAAGGGCAAAAATCGAAGAAGGATAAGGAGCATGGAAAAAAAAAATAACTCGGAGCAAGGACGACGAAGGACGACGAAGGACGACGACGACGACGACGACGACGACGACGACGACGACAACGCCCAGCGAAGGCGCTCGGCGCGGGCGCCCGCGGCACGCCTCAAACATCAGGAGCCATGGCAAACACATCGCCATCCGCAGCAGGTGGTAGAGGCCGAGTGCCTGCTGCGAGCCCACCGCCCTCCTCCTGCTCCTCGTCCTCGTCATCGTCCTCCTCCTCCTCCTCCTCCTCCTCCTCCTCCTCCTCCTCCTCCTCCTCCTCCTCCTCCTCCTCCTGGTCCAAAACACAAGGGATGTGCCACATTTCTGAAATTCGGCGGCACCCCTCACGCAGATCCGTAGGGTCAGGGCCCAATTATCCTGGCGATGGACCCAACCATATGCAGCTACGAGTACTGCAAAGCAGGTTGATCGAATGAGAGGAAACTCCGTAAGGGGCCACGGAACGTGTGAGAGGTGTGCCGAAATGGGTGCGGTGCCGCCATGCGAACGCAGCCACTGGAGCCCTCGGTGGAGCTCCCTATGGGGCCACGAAACGTGTGAGGGGTGTGCCGAAATGGGTGCGGTGCCGCCATGCGAACGCAGCCACTGGAGCCCTCGGTGGAGCTCCCTATGGGGCCAAGAAACGTGTGAGGGGTGTGCCGAAATGGGCGCGGAGCCGCCATGCGGACGCAGCCACTGGGGCCCTCGGTGGAGCTCCCTATGGGGCCAAGAAACGTGTGAGGGGTGTCCCGAAATGGGCGCGGTGCCGCCGTGCGAACGCAGCCACTGGGGCCTTCGGTGGAGCTCCCTATGGGGCCACGAAACGTGTGAGGGGTGTGCCGAAATGGGCGCGGTGCCGCCATGCGAACGCAGCCATTGGGGCCCTCGGTGGAGCTCCCTATGAGGCCACGAAACGTGTGAGGGGTTGCCAAAATAAGTGCGGTGCCGCAATGCGAACGCAGCCACTGGGGCCCTCGGTGGAGCTCCCTATGGGGCCACGAACCGTGTGAGGGGTGTGCCGAAATGGGCGCGGTGCCGCCATGCGAACGCAGCCACTGGGGCCCTCGGTGGAGCTCCCTATGGGGCCACGAAACGTGTGAGGGGTGTCCCGAAATGGGCGCGGTGCCGCCGTGCGAACGCAGCCACTGGAGCCCTCGGTGGAGCTTCCTATGGGGCCACGGAACGTGTGAGGGGTGTGCCGAAATGAGCGCGGTGCCGCCATGCGAACGCAGCCATTGGGGCCTTCGGTGGAGCTCCCTATGGGGCCACGAAACGTGTGAGGGGTGTGCCGAAATGGGTGCGGTGCCGCCATGCGAACGCAGCCACTGGGGCCTTCGGTGGAGCTCCCTATGGGGCCACGAAGCGTGTGAGGGGTGTGCCGAATTGGGTGCGGTGCCGCCATGCGAACGCAGCCACTGGGGCCCTCGGTGGAGCTCCCTATGGGGCCACGAAACGTGTGAGGGGTGTGCCGAAATGGGTGCGGTGCCGCCATGCGAACGCAGCCACTGGAGCCCTCGGTGGAGCTCCTTATGGGGCCACGAAACGTGTGAGGGGTGTGCCGAAGTGGGTGTGGCTGACGCGGAGGGGGAGGACGGAGGAGGGGGCAGAGGAGGAAGGAGAGGAGACGCGGGGCACCGTCTCTTCAAAACGAGGACCCAACACCACAGGATGGTTGGGGAAAAACACAAAGGACTTGCCACATGTCTGAAATTCGGTGACACCCGTGACGCAGATCCGTAGGGTGAAAAACAAACAGGTCCCGACACTGCTTCACGGCGGCGCCCAAACCTCATGATTTAGCTGTTGCATCTCCCATTATCCGAGACAGGGGGCTGGCGGCATGGGGCGAAGCCCTTACGGATAAATACTAGTTGTCGAACAATGATAACAGCAAAAACAATATTAATAACAATAATAACAACAACAGTAACAAAAACAACAAACACGGTACGGATACGAATGCTGCTACGAATGATAAGAATGATAATGATGATACCGAGGGCACTGATGCTAACAGCATCAACACAATTAATAATAGCAATACCCATACCAATACCAACAATCACAACAACAGCAACGCTAGCAACAACCACAACAACAACAACAACAACAACAACAACAACGACAACAACAACAACAGCAACAACAACAGCAAAACTAACACGCACTAACGAACAACAATGATGTCAACAACAAGGACAAACATAATAACAACATTACATTAGGAAAACAGATACTATATATAAATATATGTGCATATATATATATATATATGAAACCCTCCCCGCCATCTCCTCCTCAAGAGAAGGCTGGCAATGGGTCCGCCGCGAAGACTGGAGCTAGCGTTTAATGGAACAGCCCCTGCACATCATACGTAGTATTGCCCCACCAGCCGCACCAGCTGAAAAATTACACGCAGATCGCGCGGCCGTTATAAGCACCTTGCTGAGCCTCTAGATACGGCGGGATGATCCGCAACGGGCTAGCGTGTAGAAGATGCGGGAAGAGGCGGGGAGAGGAGGGAGGCGGGAAGAGGAGGACGGAGGAAGAGGACGAGGGAGGGAGATGGCGGGGGCATCTCCGTAGAGCAGGGCGCGGCGCGCCGAAGATGATGGGTTGGTCGGCGGCGGGCCCGCTCGGGGGGAGCCTCGGCGGAAGGCCCGTCCAGCCGTGAGAAAAGGCCCTCGAAGGGATCCCCGGGGCACACAGATCCACAGACACAGGTCCAAGGACTCCCCATGTCTTCCATACCTTCTGGACTTTCGCCTTCCCCTCCACCTCCCATAACTTCCCATCTGGTCCTGGGAATCGGCGTTCGTTCGTGCCTGTGTGTATGTTACCCTCCTGGATCGTTCCCCTTGCGCCCAAGGGGGTAGGGGGAGGGGGGGAGGCTTCTTGGAAGGAAGCTGCTTCTCAGAAGGCGCTGGCCTGACATCTATAGAGAAGGCCCGCGCCTACTAAGAAGCAGGGTTGCTTCGGCCTTCCCCCCTCCCCCTACAACCCTCTGCGCGTGGCTGACCTTCTCCGCGGGGGCACGACACTCGCGCAACAGCTCACCCTCGGCCAGCACGACAACGACCACCCCCGAGGCCACCGCAGGCCCCCGCACGCCAGCACACGCTTCCCGCCCCGCCCCCCGAGCACCCCACGCCCGAGCAGAAGACGAAGCCAGGACGAGGATAAAACTGGGTGAGGATCAATCGAAAATTTCCGAGATCCGGCGGCTCTGGAGGATGTCGCGGTCCCCGCGGCCTTCTCGGAGCATTCCGAAACGCTCTGGGAGCGGTCCGAGACGCTCTGGAACGGATTCATCCTCGTCCTGGCCCCGCCCGACGACATCGCAAGGCGTGCGAGGAGGGGCGACAAAACGCCGGCTGCTTCGGGCCAGCCAGTGAGGATTCGATTGGACCGGGCTGCGGGCTGGGAGCCACATGCTCGGCATCTCCAACTCTTCTTGCCGAAGTAGTGGATAGTCTCAGTTTGGGCGGCCCCCAGGTCAGGCGGAAGGTCTGAACTCTCCCGCCCTCGGCGGTACAGGAAGATGACGGGGGAATAGGGAGGAAGAGGAGGACCTGCTGCGAGCCCACTGCCGTCCCCCCCCCGTCCCTCGCCTCCACGATTCCATCCCTCCTCGTCCCAGCCCATCCTCAACGTCGGCATCAGCGTCACAACCATGTTCGTCGTCGTCGGCGTCAACCTCGCCCTCCTCCACGCCAACGTCCGCATCAACATCGTCGTCGTCGTCGACAACGTGGCCCTCCTCCCTGCGAAGGAGGCGCCGCCAGCCTCTGGGACGCACGCCCGGCCCGCGGGACCCCCCCGACCCCAGCGAGAGCCCAGGGCCCCCCGGCGCGGCAGAGGGGGAGCCCCTATCGGCCAGCCACGGCGGCCCCCGGGCACGCAGCGCCGAGGCCCCACAGCTCACGCGTCACGAGCGCCCTCCATCGGGGGAGCAGAGCGCGACGTGTCGCCCGAGCGAGGCTCAGAAGCGGGTCTTGCGCGGGACGGCACAGCGACCCTGCGCGGTGGCCTCTGCGGGCCGACAGCGCGGCACGCCGCGCTGGAGGCGAGGGCGCTCACGCAGGACCTTGCGCGGGCAGCCCACGCGCCAATTGTCGGTGAAGACGACCCCGTTGGTTCACGTCGGTCCCCTCGTCCTACGCGCAGATCAAGGGGTCCGTAAGACAGCAAAACTGCTCGACATCGGCCAGATCCTCGGGGACGGATCCCAGGGAAACTGGCCAATCCATCGGTCACTGACGCCTTCGCCACAGGGTCCCTTCCCCGATGCTGGCCCCGATCGCTCCTCCACCTCCTCCTCCTCCACCTCCTCCTCCTCCTCCACCTCCTCCTCCTCCTGCCCCGCGACCTCAGCCCCCAGCTCCTTCCTTACCCCACCGACGAGGAGGAGCATAGCACCCCGCCTGCCTGAACTTCCTTCTGAATACATAATTGTGATTCCCACACTGCCCGCACGACCGGCCTGACATGGCAAGACCGCGCGGAGAAACTGGGGTGGTCGCGAACCTCTGCTACTTCTCCTCCTCCTCCTCGTCCTCCTCCTCCTCCTCCTCCTCCTCCTCCTCCTCCGCCTCCTCCTTCTCTTCCTTGTTCCTCCTCCTCCTCCCTCCCTCCTCCCTACCTCCCTCCTCCTCCTGCTCCTCCTCCTCCTCCTCCTCCTGCTCCTCCTCCTCCTCCTCCTCCTCCTCCTCCTCCTCCTCCTCCTCCTCCTACTTCTCCTCCTCGCGAAGACAGGGGGGGCGGGCAAGCCTTTATTCTCAAAGGCTCGCCCCTCTGAATGCCCTGGAGTGCCTGCCGGGCAGGCGGTGGTCCGTCGCACGCGAACGCAATTGCCGTCGCCACCTCCTCCTCCTCCTCCTCCTCCTCCTCCTCCTCCTCCTCCTCCTCTTCCTCCTCCTCCACCTCCTCCTCCTGCCTCCTCCTCTCCTCCTCCTCCTCCTCCTCCCCCTCCTCCTCCTCCTCCTCCTCCTCCTCCTCCTCCTCCTCCTCCTCCTCCTCCTCCTCCTCCTGCTCCTCCTCCTCCTCTTTCTCTGCTTTCTACTCCTTGTGCTAATGTTCCTGGTCCTCGTCCTCCATTCCTTTTCCTCTGACTAATTCCTCCCTGTCGCACCCCGAAGCTGGTCGAAAGGGCGGGCTGAGCGTTTCGCTTGAAATCCTCGCCATGTATGACCCTGAAGCTCAGAAAGTGACAACAGTTTCACGGATTGTGGGCGGGCGGTTTTCAAAATGTGGCTGCTCTCGCCATGGCGACGCGCACATTCGTTTTCAACAAATTGCCAGAGTCTCACGAATTGAGGGCGGGCGGTTTTCGAAATTATGCGGCTCTCGCCTCAGCGCTGCGCACATTCGTCTTGAATAAGTATAAGAGCTTCTCGGATTGAGGGCGAGCGGTTTTCAAGATGTGACTCTTGCCTTAGCGCCGCGCACATTCGCCTTAAAAATACGCAAGCGTTTCACGGATTGAGGGTGGTTCGTTTTCAAAATGTGGCTCTCGCCTCAGCGCCGCGCACATTCGTTTTAACAAATTGCCGGAATTTCATGGATTCCCATGGTCAACGTACCAGAAATTGTCTTTTGGACGGGTTCAGGATTGTGAGGGTGCGACAGCTACGTTGGTTCGCGATGTTGAGGTCCAGGAACGGTGATTTGGCAGCGTTCAGGATCGTCAAGACGCAACAATCAGGTTGATCCGTGGCGTTGGAGTCCCGATAATGGTGTTTTGGCATGCTTCAGGGTCTTCAAGCAGTTGTCTTCCAATGAGGCAGTTCCCTCAGTGGAAATGAACCCTTGCAGTGGCCTATGGACTTCGGAGGGAAGCTTTATTCCAACATCGTTGATGAGTCTGGGGTTTGTACTGGTCCTCCTCCTCCTCCTCCTCCTCCTCATTGCCACTCTCCTCCTTGTCCTCCTCCTCACTCTTCCACTTTCCGTCCTCTTACTCCTGCATCCCTCCTCCTTCCTCCAGTGCCTGTACGATGTTCGCCGACAGCCTCTCCGCACTCTACCCCCTGCCCTGGGCCATCTGGCATCCTCCAGTTCTCATGATCATCCCCTCCTCCAACCTGCACTGATCACTCGTCCCTTGTCCCTACCCATTCACTCCGCCAATCCTCCTCCATTCCTCTTCCCATGCCTCATCCTCCTGGTTGCACCTTTGCTTGACAAGCAAAAAACTCAACGTCCTCATCACAATCATCACAATCAGGACTAGGACTGTGATAATGATGGTGACAAAGTGGGAGGGGTAGGAAGGGAAGGGGGAAGGGTAGGAGAGGAGGAGAAGCAGCAGGAGGGGCACTGGCTTGCATCCCCTTGAAGCCCACGCTCCTGGAAGCCGATCACCATGCCAAACATGTACAGCCATTGCTCCAGACGCCTGCAGGCGGCGACCAAGGCGGACCAGCGCACAGGACTGCCCCACCCCCCTTTCCCCTCACACCCATCCCCGCCGCCATCACCTCCCCCTCCCCGTCCCCCGTCCCAGTTCACCGACCCCCCGCACCTTCCACGTTGCAATACCCCTCGAATATGGAGCGAGAGGGGATCGAAGCGAATGAATGCGTTCATTCCCTACCTAGGCTCTGCCTAGAAATGTTCTTACTCTCTATCTTACAGGGGCCGGGCAGTGGAAACTGCCCCGGGCGGTTCCCCCTGCATCCGCCCCGCGGTTCCCCCAGTTACGTCCCCTTAGCTTAGCGTTGCTTATATCATCTTAGCTTAGCTTATATAATATTAGCTTAGCTTAGTTTCATCTTAGCTCAGAATTATCTTAGCTTAGCTTATATTAAGATTAGCTTCGCTGAGCTTTAGCATAGCAGAGCACAGCATAGCATAGCATAGCGTAGCATAGCATAGCGCAGCACAGCATAGCATAGCATGGCGCAGCATGGCATCGCATCGCATCGCATAGCATAGCATAGCATAACATAGAATAGCATAGCGCAGCTTAGTATCGCATAGCATAGTATAGCACAGCTTAGCATAGCACAGCGCAGCATAACATAGCATAGTTTAGCATAATATAACATAGCATAGCATAGCATAGCATAGCATAGCGCAGCATAGCACAGCATAGCAAAGCATAGCGCAGCATAGTATGGTATAGCATTGCATAGCATAGCATAGCATAGCAACTAATGCTGCTTTCCTAGGGGCTCCAACTTCTAGGTAGGGTCGCACTGGGGTAATGTTCTGGACCGTAGACAGCCGTTCCATATGAAGCAAGTGCTTTCTCTGAATCCTTTTCCACGTTTTTTCCGTAGCGCAGGGATCGACCACTAATATTGAACTCCCTCTTGGATTGCAATACCGACCGCAGACGCGGAACGCTACGCCGATCTGTCCCCACCCCCGTGCCGCAGGCTCCCCTGTGGGAACGCAGGCGCACGGCCGAGAAGCCTCCGCGTGCCGCCCTCTCGAGCAAGAGACGGGGCCAATGCGGCAGAAAGCGTGCGAGACGATCGCAGGTCCGGGCCTGGCAGGCTGGGTCACGGCACTGCCGACCACAGGGCCGAGGAGGAAGAAATGAGGAGGAGGAAGAGGAGGAAGGGGAGGAGGAGAAGAAGAGAAGGGAACATGTCCTCCCCCTCCTCCTCCTCCTCCTCCTCCTCCTCCTCCTCCTCCCCCCTCCTCCTCTCCCCTCCTCCTCCTCCTCCTCCTCCTCCTCCTCCTCCTCCTCCTCCTCCTCCTCCTCCCCTCCTCCTCCTCCTCCTCCTCCTCCTCCTCCTCCTCCTCCTCCTCCCTGAGTGGGACGCACAGAGACATACGAGTACTGTACGTCATCCTTGGCGGCACGCGTCCGACCAGAACACCTGGTGCACCCATCCTGTAGCACGTCGTTTCCCGAGCGGTGTGGCCAGAAAACGCCCGCCACGACGCACGCGTGTGCTACACGATTTCTTGGTGCGCGCGTCGCTCCTGGGGGGGCGACGCACACGTAGTCACGATATCTCGATATCGAGGGGGAGGGGGCACCGGAACACGATATCCCGATATCTCGATATCGAGGTGGAATTCAGCGACTCGACTCTGGAGCAGCCGATGTCGAACGGTCTAAGCCCACAAATCGAGATATCGAGATATCGTGATACCGTGTTGTCCGCAGGTGCAGCGGTACTGTCTCGTTCGAGGGCATTGGCCAATGCCTGCGCCACGCAGGTCCTAGAGCATCGAGAGGAGCTTGGGGAGGAGGAGGAGGAAGAGGAAGAGGAGGAGAAGGCAGAGGAGGGGGAGGTGTCTGATTGTAGGCTTGTCCCTCATCGGGGCTCGGCGGACCCTCGTCACGGTTTGGTCAAGGACTAAGGGTGGGGCAGTTGCTGCGCAGGGAGGAGCGCAAAAGGAAGGCGAGGAAAAGGAGTCGGAGGTGGGGGCGAACAGGTGAACGAGGCAAAGGGAAGGGAGACTAAGGAATCATTCGGGCATGGCGATGGTTGCTTGAAGAGGGAAAGTCCATACATGCAGACCTCCCCTGGCCGTCCACAGGCCACGTGCTGGGAAAATGCGGTGTCCTTACGAAGTGCGCGAGGGTCGTGCCGAATTGCAGCGGACCGCTTTGCGGATCCTGCCGGTTTTGCCAGTTGGGCCTCGGGGCGGGGAGGTCTGCATTTATTGCTCGGCGGTTGCTCCGTAAAAGAAATGCCTGATCCAAGGGGGCCCTGCAATCAGAAAGCAAACTTGGCACGCCTCCATTGCTTCTCATCCTCCTCCTCCTCCTCCGCCTCCTCCTCCTCTTCCTCCTCCTCCTCCGCCTCCTCCTCCTCCTCCGCCTCCTCCTCCTCCTCCTCGTCCTCCTCCCCCTCCTCCTCCTCCTCCTCCTCATCCTCCTCCTCCACCTCCTCCTCCTCCTCCTCCTCCTCCGCCTCCTCCTCCTCCTGGACGAAAATATCCACTGCGAAAGGTCCCACCGTGGGTTCGGGTGCTCGGCCGCTCCTCCGAAAACCTGTCCACTCGCCCGAGGGGATCGGAATCGGGGATGTTTGCTGGCCTTGGCAATGCCCTCAAGCAGCTGCCTCTTGGCAGCGTCCGTAATGTGGATGTCCAGACTTTCAGATACCTTCAAGCACCATCCCGGCAAGAATGTTGAGGCCTCCGAACCCACCCCTTGCGTATACCCCTGCTGGTGGTGAACTGGCGTCGGCGAAGACGTCGGCATGACTGACTTGAACTTATCGAGCCGCTCTGAGCGTTTGGATCCAAAGCTGGCATCTCTGAGGCTTGAACCGAATCCAACAATAACTTAAACTCAGACAGCTGCGACTGAAGTTAGCTGGCATCGGGTAGCTTGGGCACGGACATCCTTGCAGCCACAGCGACACGAGCCTCCTTGATAGAAGCCTTCTCCATGGCAGTCTTCTCAGCAATATCATTCTGAGGTATAGACATAGACTTCAACTGCTGACGATATAGAGCACGTTCGGTCTGAAGTGTTCAATCCTCTTCGTCCTCCGTACCCCCTCCTGTTCGACTCGAGGGACGATGCGACTGGGGGTACTGCAACTATCTTCTCAGCTTGGGCATTTTCCCTACCTATGCGGATATAGTCTTTGGCGGTCTGGGAGATGGTGTCTTTAAGCTTGCCCCCAATGAACATATGGCTGGCGGATCATGGCCCCCAGAGTTTTCATGGCCCCTTGTTCGTTGGATAGAAATGCCGTAGCCCCATCCCACACACCAGCTTTGGGAGCGCCTCATCCTCTCTCTCTCTCTCTCTCTGCTTTTGCCTCCACCTTTGACTCCTCATTTGCCATTGCCACCTCCACCATCTCCACCGAAGTAGGTCGGTCCAGGGTGCCCCAGACCAAAAACCTTGAAGACGGAGCAGCAGTAGCAAGACGAGGCAAGGGGCCCTTGCAGTGGTAGCAAAACTTGAAGTGGACGGGTTTCTTCTTGCAGCCGCAGTTCGGGCAGACGAGCCCCTTCCACGAACCATGACCCTGAGCACTCCACTGGGTCATCGCACACTGGAGGTGCAGGAACGAGTAAGGCCGAACTCTGAGGTTTGGCCTAGAACGGATGCGTCGGGCGCTCCCTGGAATTTTGTCGCAAGCTCGAGCCCCCGCGACAAGGGTATCAAACTTGAGCCAAAATCGCCACGGACCTACTCCCCCACAGTACCCCTCTCCTCCCCCTTCTCCTGCCTGCCTGCCTGCCTGCCTGCCTGCCTGCCTGCCTGCCTGCCTGCCTGCCTGCATGCCTGCCTCCCTCCCCCACTGACGGACGCGACGCCTGGCCGTGAGCAGCTCCCTCAGCTCGGCGGGCGGCAGCTTGGACACCGGGCCCGACTTGTCGATGTCGTTGCCTGGCCGCGCCTCCTGCTGCTGCTGCTGCTGCTGCTGCTGCTGCTGCTGCTGCTGCTGCTGCTGCTGCTGCTGCTGCTGCTGCTTCTCCGCCCTGGCCCTTCTTGGGCCTCTGGAGGCCTCTGCAGACCTCCGGGGACTGCCAGTACCCTCCGCGGGCCTCTGGCGCCCTTCTGGAGGCCTCCGGGGACCTCTGGAAGCCCCATTCCTGCCCGCTCCTCGTCCTCTTCTTCCTCCTCCTCCTCCTCCTCCTCCTCCTCCTCCTCCTCCTCCTCCTCCACCTCCTCCTCCCACCTCCTCCTCTCCTCCCCTCCTCCTCTCCTCCTCCTCCTCCCCTCCTCCTCATCATCATCATCATCATCATCATCATCATCATCATCATCATCATCATCATCATCGTCGTCGTCATCATCATCATCATCATCATCATCATCATCACATCAGCAGCAGCAGCATCATCATCATCATCATCATCATCAGCAGCAGCAGCAGCACAGCAGCAGCAGCATCATCATCATCATCATCATCATCATCATCATCATCATCATCATCATCATCATCATCATCATCATCATCATCATCTCATCATCATCACCACCATCATCATCGTCATCATCATCACCATCATCATCACCACCACCACCACCCTCCTCCTCCTCCTCCTCCTCCTCCTCCTCCTCCTCCTCCTCCTCTTCATCTGCGTACTCACCCTCCCTCGTTGTTACCTTCCCAAGCCATCCTCCCCATCGTCATCCTGGTAACCATCATGATCACACCCACCAACACCATCATCACGACCACACTACTCATAAAATTGCTCAACGGCAGCATCGTCCTCACCAATATCCTCATACGCATCGTAACCCTGATCATCATAATCGTCGCCATCACCATCACCAGCACCACCATCAACATCACCAGCACCACCATCACCATCACCATCATCATCGACATCAACATCAACATCATCATCAACATCAGCATCAGCATCAGCATCCTCATGATAAACAGCATAATCACCATATTGTTCAGCATCGGCATCAGCAGCATCATCAGCATCATCTTCATATCAGTATCGTCATCACCATCATCACCATCATCATCATAAACAGCATAATCATAAGCGTCATCATCAGCAGCATCAGCATCAGCATCAGCATCAGCATCATCATCATCAGCAGCATCAGCATCATCATCATCAGCATCATCATCATTATCATCATCATCAGCAGCAGCAGCAGCAGCATCGTCATCATTACCTGCCGCGCGTAGTTGGCGCAGCCCCTAAGACAGGGGAAGGAGGGGAGAAGTGAAGAGATAGGAGGAGGGAGAAGGATTGAGCACGAGAGAAATTTGCAGGAGGAGGGTTAAGAGCAGCAGCACAAGCGGCAGTACCAGCATGGCGTGTCGAGAGGGCAAACCATAACGGACAGCCTGGGCGAGCGGGCCCAAACGGCCAAGTCGAGCGGGCGGGTCGCTAAAGCGTCAACCCATCATGAAGAAACTTTCGAACGGTAACGAAAGCGTGTTTTTGGAAACCGCTTGGAAATCCAAAGCGACAGCGTGATTGGTGAGTCTTTGAAGCACGAAGGGCGCCGCAATAAATTGTGAGGAAGTACCACGCGAGAGCGCGATTCCTGGATGAATTGTGAGAAGTGCCGCGTGATATCGCGAATGTGGAATACATTGTGGGGAAAATTATGGCGGGAGCCGCTGTTGTTGTAAACTGGGGGCCAGGGGCGCACTTTGGTGTCCAAAGACTTTCCCTGATAAAAAACCGGGTGTGAGCCCCGGCAGAAGCACTCCAATTGAAAAATGCATTGGTCACCGGGGGGCGATCAGCCATACTTCTTCCAAAAGACAACAACAGCAACAATTACAACAGCAACAACGACAACAATCATGTTAAGATTGTTCGCTCTTCCCTGCTCGCGTGCCACTCAACACGTATATCCCAAAACCCTCGATGCCCACCCTCTTCGTCTTCGATCGTACCTCCATCGGGGCTTCTTACCTGCAACGTGTGTATTTCGTGCAGTCCCCAAGGCAAAGAAACGGAGGACGGATGGAAGGAAGAGACAAAGGGGAGGGAGGAAGATGGAACACGAGATAAAATAGCAGGACGGGTGCTAGGAGCAAAAACACGTGGCAGGACCAGACGGGCAGATCGGGCGGGTAGACCCTAACGGGCGGGTCGGGAAGCTAGACGGCCAGGTCGAGCAGGCGGGTTAAAGCGTGCGTCCCGCATGAGTCGCGAGCAAATCTCCAGCGATAAAGCGATTCCCCTATATAAATCTGGAGGAAATCAACAGGGAGAGCGTGATTCCTGAGTGACGAGGGAGTGGCGTCTGAATAAACCGCACGGAGGTCCCACGCGAAAGCGCGATTCCTGCATTAAATCCTGAGGAAGTCCCCCGCGAGAGCGCGATCTGGGAATAAAATGTGAGAAATTATAAAGCAGGAGCCGTTGTTGTTGTAAACCAGGGGCCAGAGGCACAGTTTGAGCAGGCAGACTTGCCCCTGTAAAAACACAGCGAACCCCGGGAGAGGCACTTCAATCGAAAAAGCACGTATGTTACGCAAATGCGTGAGCCCTGCATCATTATCCAGGAAGTCTCGGGCGAAGGCGCGATTTTTTTTATACATTACAAGAAGTCCCAGGCGAGAACGCGATTCCTGAATGGCGAGGGCGTGGCACCTAAATTCGCCGGTCTAACGGGCCAGAGGCGTGCTAAAATCTCCGGCTACTGGTTAACAATATTCTACTTCGCGCGCGCGGGGCGGCCCCTGGGGGTCTCCGGGCGAAAAGTACCCCCAGCAAGGTCCCGGCAAGGTCCCGGCAAGGTCCCGGCAGGTCCGTGTCAGGGATGCCGGACCGGGCAATTTTTCAACACCCCTCACTAGGATCGTGGCCTCCGAGGGGGGAGCCGCAATCGACTGCCCCCCCTCCCGCCCCAAGAGGCCCCCAAGAGCCCCCCAAGAGGCCCTGGGGGCCCCGAAAACGCCGCCAAGGAGCCCCAAGAGACTCCCAAAAGGTCCCCAAGAGGTCCCCAAGAGGCCCCCAAGAGGCCCTAAAGAGGGCTCCAGGGCCGGCAGAATGAGCGAAGCGATTAAACAAATTACGAGGAAGTCACGGGCGAGAGCGCGAGTTTTCCATAAATTGCAAAGAAGTCCCTAGCGAGAGCGCGACTCCATAGTAAATTCAGCAACAATACACGGCGGGAGCCGTTGTTTTTGTAGTCTGGGGGGGCACGAACACATCTTGAGGAGCAATAACAACAACAACAAGGAAAAGGCGTGCGTGGGAGCCCCGTGAGCTCTAGCCGTCCGGACCCGCCCTCGCCTTATTGCGAAGGCTGCGCTCAGAGCCCCGTGGAAGCATTCTGCCCCCCCCCCTCCCAGCAACAGCAACAGCAACCAGCAACCAAACAAAAAAAAAAAAATGGAACTCCCTTGGACTTCCTTAACGACCTTGACGTGGTCCTATGGGTGAAGAACGTGTGCGTGCCGGCGTGCCACCGCTTTAATACAGATCCGATACAGACTGTATGGGATCCTGTAGAGATCCGAAACAGTCTGTAGTAGGATCCTATACAGATCCGATACAGACTGTATAGGATGCTACACAGATCCGATACAGACTGTATGGGATCCTGCAGAGATCCGATACAGACTGTATGAGATCCTATACAGATCCGATACAGACTGTATAAGATCCTATACATATCCGATACAGACTGTATGGATCCTGTAGAGATCCGATACAGACTGTATAGGATCCTATACAGATCCGATACAGACTGTATGGGATCCTGTAGAGATCCGATACAGACTGTATAGGATCCTGTACAGATCCGACACAGACTGTAAGGGATGCTGTAGAGATCCGATACAGTCTGTATACGATCCTTTTCAGATCCGATACAGACTGTATGGGATCATGTAGAGATCCGATACAGTCGGTATAGGAACCTCTATAGATCCGAGCTAGACTGTATGGGATCCTGTAGAGATCCGAAACAGTCTGTATAGGATCCTATAAAGATCCGATACAGACTGTAAAGGATCCTATACAGATCCGATGCAGACTGGATGGGATCCTGCAGAGATCCGATACAAGCTGTACGGGCTGTACAGATCCGATACAGGATCCTGTAGAGATCCGAAACAGTCTGTATAGAATCCTATACAGATCCGATACAGACTGTAAAGGATCCTGTACAGATCCGATATAGACTGTATGGGATCCTGTAGAGATCCGATACAGACTGTAAAGGATCCTATAAAGATCCGATACAGACTGTATAGGATCCTGTAGGTCCAGTACAAACTGTACGGGATCCTATACAGATCCGATATAGACTGTACCTCGTCTTACACATCATCATCATCCACCTCGTCTTACTCATCGTCCACCTCGTCCTACTCATCACCAGCATCATCGCCCACCTCGTATTACTCATCATAATCATCATCATCGTCATCATCATCATCCACAACGTCCTCATCATCACCATCCCCATCATCATAACCATCATCATCATCGTCGTCATCATCACCGTCATCATCATCGTAGTCGCCGTCGTCATCATCAGCATCGTCATCATCATCCTTATCCGCGTCATCCTCATCATCACCATCCTCATCATCATCCTCATCATCATCATCATCATCAGCATCCTCATCCGCATCCTCATCATCATCGTCGTCGTCATCATCACCATCATTATCATTGTCATTGTCGTCGTCGGCGGCCTCGTCCTCCGCCCCGCCAATGTCCCTCTATCTCCCTGCCCCTCCCACCGGGCGGGCACGCCAGGTGGCGCGCGGTGGCGGGGCGACGAAACCGACGACGACAACGACAACGACGACGGCGGCGACGACGACGACGACGACGGCGGCGACGACGACGACGACGGGGGTTATAGAATTCCTACGGAGGCCTATATAATTCCTATGGAGGCCGATAAAATTCCTATAGGGGGCCGATAAAAAATCTATG